CGAGGGGTCAGCGCCGTGAGGCGGCGAAGGGCGACTGGGGCTGGGGGCCAGCGGCGTGAGGTGAGGGTGGCGGGAGCCCCCGGGGGCCGAGGGGCAGCGGCGTGAGATGAGGTCGGGGGGAGCCCCCGGGGAACGAGGGGCAGCGGCATGAGGTGAGAGTGGCGGAGTCGCCTGACGGGGGCAGCGGCGTGAGGTGGGGGCGACAGCGGGAGCCCCCGGGGTGACGGGGGGCAGCGGCGTGAGTCCCCCGATGGGAGGCAGCGGCGTGAGGCGCGGGCAGCGGAGGACGCCGAGGTTTTCTAAGCCTGAGGTGGGTGCGAGAGCCCGGGAGGAACCTCCTTCCCCGCTCCCCGGAGGGCAGAGGAGGCGGAGCGAGCCGCGGGGAGGGCCGCTTCCAGAGCCGGGGGCAGAAGCCCGGCCTCCAAACTCCCGGCTCCTTCTTTCTTTCCTGCTTGGCCACAACGTCCGAGATTCAGAAACTAAGTTATTTAAAAAAAAAAAAAGAGTTTAATAGCTGTTGTTCCAGGGAGTTTTCCAGCACGTGGGAACAGGGCAGTGTGTGTCTGTGACCTGCCGGAGGTAAAACGGGCTGTGGATGGGGGGGAACCCCCGCTCCCAGCTCCAGGCTTTAGCTGGGAACTGCCGCATTCGTATCCTGGGTGGCTTCTCAATAATGGAATGCACTGCTGCAGGACAAGTGGTGTGCATTATATTTATAGCATCCATATCTTTAGGGGCACGGGAGGAGGCTTCCTTATTTTAGTGACAGGTTTTGAGAAGTGTGGTATAACATAACTGCCTATCCCTTCTGGCCAGTAATTTTGGCCAGAGTATTTTATTGATGACATTTGGAATTCGATTCAAAGCAGTTTAATAGGCCCCAAAATAATAATAATTGTAGTATGTGGTGAGGTAAGAGTGCCTTATTTTGGTAGACTATCTCTGCTCCAGATGCATTGCTGATCAAGTGGCACTGTATTAACCTGGTAAATATGCAGTGTTAAAATGTTTAGTAATGCAGTGAAGCACATACTGGTGAAGCATCTAACTAAGGATATTGAGGGAGTAAAACTGCCAGGGCTGCAGGAGATCATTTACTCCTTCACTACAGCCTTCTCGGTCAGAAGAGTGGTATCCTGAGTTCACGTTCAGCCCTGTGTGTGTGTATTCAGCCATAATAAATGGCAAAGAGACAATGTGTGGTAGGGCTCAGGGGAAAGATAGAGAATGTTTACTGTTTAGAAAAATGAATAAGTGCATAATTTACATGATTCTATAATGATTTATTTGCCTTGTGGCTTTGGAGTCTCCAAGGGATTACTCAAGAGCCTGGTCTTTAAATTAGTCTGCACAGAGTTGATTTTTGCCTCTTGTCACTCTATGAGTTACTAGCAAAGCACAAAAATACATTTCATTTCTTTCTGACATTCTGTATGTTACTGTACATGGTTTATAAAACCAGGTGGACATGTATATGGGTCCAAATTTAAGAGCTTTTTATTAGTCTGGTTTATCACCTTAGTGAGATCTTCTTGTTCTGCAATTTGCATATATTCTCAATAGAACAGGACAGAGAAGAAGTAGCTGACTGATAGGAGCGCTGTAGCAGATAATTCATAAAAAAATACTTTATATAAATTCTTGCTAGGGCTTGGCTAGCAGGTGTTTTCAGATACCTCTGGCTAAAAATGACACAACATAATCTTTGTGTGCTGTTTAACTTTGATTAATGTAAAAATGAGCTCATGTGGTTTTGCCTTCCTGTCACACATCTGAGGTAGAGGCAGGGTTTTCCAAGCTGGTGGATTCTCATTGCTTAGGCCAAAACCCAAGTCCTTTACTAAAAAAGCCCCATGGATAAAACCCCCAGGTGTCTTTCATTTTTTTCCAAATCCTGTCGTTAGCAGTAATACTCTGATTAACAACATCCTTTTCTTATATAAAATAAAATTTTCATTGTGTATGTAACTTGCTACCTGAGTTAGTCTTTGTTTTATTTCCCCAGTTTTATTTATCCAACAGAACTTATTTCTATAGAAATTAATTGGAATAATGTATTTCTCTATACCTGTAATGTATGTCTTAATACCTCAATGCTGTTGGGAGTAATACTTAGCTGTAAAATTATCACATATAAATTCTAATATTTTGCAAGCAGTCTAGTGTTTTTCAGGTGAAAATAGAATTTTCTGCAGAAATTTAAGATTGTTTATGGAAAGCAGCATTTAAAACTGTGGGCAGTAATACATAGGGTTCAAGTCAGGTGATGTGCTTGAAAAGCCTGTTTGGTCAAACCAGGCATACAAGGCCACACTTTCCTGCATTTAAGGCCTGTCTGGCAAAAAAAGAATTGCCATTTCTTTCCAGCTTAATAAAGATTTGTTTATAGTCATTAGCAAAAGAAAATTGAGAAACAAATTAAGAGCAAATTGCCAAATTAGGTCCTGTTTAAGCCTTTATTATCTGTTCAAGTTTAGAATGCAATTTGTTGTATTTAAAGCTGTTTTCAGGAATTATTGAACAAAAGTAGTGATGGGACTTCCAATGAACAGTGAGCTATCCTTGTTGACCGGGAACCAGCTCTAACTTGAAGCAGTGGTGCTCCTGCATGTCAGTTCCTGCAGAAATTTTCTGGCTGTGACTGGAAGAAACATAAGTAGCCTGGGGACCACTCCACCCTGTAATTAAATACCAAACCACAGAAGTGGGGGATGGAAAACAGACTAATGAACACACACTTATGGCAATGTTATCTAAAGCATTTTTCTGTGTGTGCATGTGTGGTAAAAAATTTAAGTGTGATTTATTTCTGATAAAAGGGGTTTCTGGAAATACAGGCCAACTGTCTTGTGTAGCTCTTGTGTTGGTAAGTGGGAGTATCAGTTGCATATCAATCCACATGCTGAGGTGTGTACACATATTCTGGAAAAAGAATTTTTCAAGTATTGTTTTCCACCGATTTGTTTTTAAGTGGTACAGCCTCGTATTTCAAATGAAGACTGAGGTTTTAATGTTTTCTCAGTGTGTGTACAGTGCTTCTTGGCCAGACTCTGATTTCATTCCAGAAGGTAAACAGAATATAGGGAGTATAGCATTTGCACTGAACAGATTTGTGAAACTGTTGCCGCTGTTATCTTTACCGCAGTGTGTTTTCTAAATTATTACTGTGAAGATTTGCCATACCAGGACATATTTGCCAGTAAATCCTGCTTAAGGGAAAAGAGGGCTAATTACTTTCAATATTTTATTTACTTGACATACGCAGTTTCTTCCCTGTTGGTTTCTGTTGGTGAAGAAACTTGATGTAACACGTGATCAGCTTTGTATTACTGAGCATGGTCAGGAGGACAACAGGAGAAAAGTAATGTAAATGCCATGAAAATACTTTTTTCTGAAAATGGCAAAACGAGTAATATTAAGACAGCTGAAGTGCTCAAATGATTTCCAAATGTAGCCTTTCCCTGAAAGCCATTTGTATTAATTCTGTAGAGATTGTTATGTATTTATGTTGTGCTTGGTGCATCACAGTATTCATAACAGACTTTTCTGCCTCAGGAATGTAGTTATACTACTAGAAATGGGGGAGGAGATGGACAATGCATGAGACAGTGTTTTCCACTTTTTTATCAGAACTTAACAGAGTAACTGTCAACTTTGTACAACACTTTTTTGCGATTTGTCCCACAGATGGGACCACAATTACTTGTGGATGTGATGCCCTGTAAGGTGGGGCTTCCATGGAGGCAGCTTTCTCTGAGCCTTATAGAAAAATGGTGCAAAGCAAGAAGACAGGCAGCCTCTGGCTGGTTTTGTTGTCATGCATTAGAAAGAGACATTTACAAAAGCATATGGCTTTTTTTAGCATTTAATCCACACTTTAAGGGATTTGTTTTGTTCCCTATCTCATGTGGGAGTTTGTGCCTGATCTGCTACTCTTGGAAAAATAATAGGAAAAATAATTTTAGGATTAGAAAGAAATTGTTGTATCCTCTTGATTTAATGATCTCTGGTACTATGTACAAGCAAGAAAAACAATGGAATTCCAAAGTCGTGTCTCAGAAAGTTATTTTAGTTTGCTAGCTAGCTTATTGCAAATATTAGGCCTTGATAGGACTCTTGCTCAA